GTGTGTGTGTTTGCGCGCGCTGTCCCCCACAAGTGAATTTCTATAGGTAGGCAGTTGGCAGCTCTGGTTGCAAAGGGTGTAACAGCATCAGGAACGTCTGTATCATTCTAAGCCAAGACTTTAAAAAAAAAAAAAAAAAAAAAACTTCTTTCAAAATCCATAAGGCTAACTGCAGCAAACCTTTTTTTCCCCTCTTCTTCCAAAGTCGCATGGATATCCGATTCTCCACTGCCAAAACCAGATTTTGGATCTGGCAGGACTTGATATATGACCTCTATGGAGCCTCCCGGGCACATTTTTTTTCTCTAGTCCTCTTTTAGACATTACTCATATGTCTTATCTTGTCTTAGAAAATGTTCCACCTCTCACCTAGTAATGTATACGATGGTGCCCTGCATTTGACATACAACATGCTATCGAACACCCTAATAGTCAGGGATCCGTTGCTGAGTCAACTCCTCATCCGACCCCTCTTCTAATTCTTTGTGCCTCAACTCTGGGTTAGCAATCACTCAGCCAGCCGGGAGACGGAGAATTCTTTCAACTTAGTCACATTTTGCTTCCTCTTGGAGGAATGGTTTCCTACTCTTGTGAATTTTTAACCCAATACGGCCTCATTACAGTAATTCATTTTTGGGTGGGGTGCGGGGAGGAGTTGGTGGGGGGAGTTCATTCAATCACATAGTCTGGCCATGGACTGCGCAATTTTAAAAGTATTCTCTCAAATTGCAACTCCCACCGTATGTGTTAATAGCATACGATGGAAAGTCAAAGCTAATAATTGTAACGCTCATACTGCATAGACCAGCGGTCTCCAACCCCTGAAGCTGGCCAGTTTGAAGGCTGCTGCAGACTGAGAGCCGCCATTACTCACACTTAACATCAGAGTTGTAACTCTTAGATTTCAATCAGGAGTGAGGATAGATTCATGAGGTCCACCGCAATATGTAAGCCGCCATTTAGCGAAGAGCCGTGACAATGCTCCGGTCACACACAGATTGCTGCGTCCTTTTCCACAGTTAGGTCTCCATATCGGATATGAGTGTGCCATAGGGAAAGAGAGCTGTCGCGTGGCAGTGAATGGAGTCAGCAGAGGTGGTCAATTTACAAAATTTTGCCAGTCCATCATTCGTCATGTGTCAGCGGCCTGGGGTCCGTAATCCTGAGTCTGTAATCTTTTCAAGGCGAACCAAACTAATCGCCAGTCGGTGAGTCCGTCATGTTATTGTATCCGCCTGTATGTGAAACGGGCGTCCGTCAGTGACGTACTGATGGACCACCTCTGGGACTCCACCCACAAGTCTCTCTTTTTAAACATGCCGTCTTAGCATGTCTATGAAATCACAAAGGGTTAGGGTTAGGTGACCCTAATTCTAACCCTGACCCTATACCTAACACAGTTCTAAACATCTCGTCATGATTCGAGAGTTGAACTGGCTCCTGTTTAAAGGTTAGCCCATTTAGAATTTGACTTTAAACTGCCTCAATTTAACATATACCCGCTTTTAGAGTCGGTGTGCGCAAGACCGTTTTTGACAAATAACTGCTTAAAAATTTAACATGACATGACAACGTGTCGGGAGGCTACAGAGCAAACATTTGAAAATGGGCCTTGAAGAGGAAAATTTTTGGAAATGATACCATTGCCGTTCTGGTGGCAACAGTAGTATACAAAAATGAATGATGTGTGTCTGAGTCATACAGTAAGTGTAGTCTGGCTATGCACGCGTACATCACAATTAAATTAATGAGAGCGGAGCACGGTGCTGTCGAAACAATGTTTACACCACCAGCAAAGGGACATTTACCACATTGCTGTGGCCAACAATGTAGCATGACTTAACACATCAAAAATACACAGAATACTGTATTCAGTAGCTGGGACCATCCGGAAGGACATGCATGTAGTTTGTCTTTGTCATTGCGAACTCCTGGACATTGCGCATTCCAGACTTTGTAGTTAATTTTGCATGTCTGTGTGAACTATAATAATGTTGTCATTGTTCTCTGTCCCTGAAAATGTCAATCACTAAAGAGAAAAACATTGCAAGTTCTTGTCGTGTAAGCATAGCCTTGCAGACTTGCACTTTCTTTCTCTTGCTTTCACACACACACACACACACACACACACACGTCCACGTTGAGCCTGCATGTGCCTTTCGGCCAGGCAAGAACATTGTCAGATCCATGCATCATTGGTAAGAAAATCTCTCTCGACTACCCCCTTCCCTCGGCTCTAAGGCAGGCCTGAAAAGATCCTTTTGTCCCTGATCAACCCCGCCCCCCCCCCTCCCCACATCCCCTTCCCTTCGTCACCTTCCTCACCACCCTCCTCCACCTCGTGATTATTATGGATACCTGGGAGCGTCTCACATGTGCGGCAAGGCTACCCGACCTTCTGCCAGACCACGTACGAGGCCGCTCACCCCAGAAAGTGTTCATAGAGCAGACGCACACCCTTCCTGGTGCCAGCGCAAACATCAGCGTGAGGCCGACTGCGCAAGCTCACGTTCGCCATGTTTATTTGCACACGTCCAGACCCTTCCTGCTGTTGATTTAGAGCCACTGCCACTTTACAAGCATGACAAATGAAATGCCCCGTTGATGACTCGAACCCTGTTTGCCATCAGCAGCTGTTGTTGCTGGCAGCGACGAGCCCAACCTGCGCTTTTTGTCACTAAACGCCTGCTTGCCGATGGAGGCCTTGTGTGGAGAGACACATGGCGGCTGATATGCCGCATAGATTTATGAAAGCAACATTTCTCCCCCCCCTACCCCGATTCGGAAACGAGGGATTTGAGGGTGATTAAAAGCAGCGGGTGCGGGTTTCCATATTGGACTGATTTTAGTCTTTCACACATCCTGAAGGTGACTGATGGCCTCTCGCTGTCATGTGGCCCTCAGAGCCTTTTTAATCCTGGCTGTGTCTCTGCCGTTCTGGACATGTTGTCATTAGATTAACAGGTATGAGGAGTCACTTCGGTGGCTTTGTGATCACCTGTTTGTTAATTTGTGAATATTTAGCCACAGTCTTGTGCCAAGAAGCAGAGCCACACGCTGTGTGATCGGGTCATCAGAAGCTCGGCTCTCTGCTGACCTCTGCCGAGTGCCAAGCGTCGTTTATGTTCGGTTATTGCGTTCGATCGCACAAAGCAGCAATACAAACCATCGCGGTCTACCTAATGCGTTCATCAACACGTGTTGAGTCACTTGTTTATAATATGCAGCTCTCGGTCGCACTCATTTTGTGTCTCCAAAGTCTCCTTCTTGTTTTCCGCAGTATTAGAACAGCGGTTCCCTCCCAGTGTGCCATGGCGCATTAGTGTGCCTTAAGAGACTATCCAATTTCACTGAATCTGTCTGAAAATGATCATTTATTTACAAATGATGTGTCTTTGTCCATCCATCTATGCCAGCGAAAGAAAAATGGAATGCTCTTTCGCTAGATATTGACCCGCAGATCCATTTGGTTTGGTGGTATGTGCCAAGAGATTTTTCACAAGTGTAATATGTGTCATGGGTTGGAAAACACTGATTCGGCTCTGTCCTTCAGACCAAACACTTCGTCTTCTTCACCTGACACTCACCAAAACATGTTTGTGCCCAGTCATGCGTCATGGTCCTGTGCTAAGACTTTGAACAGGACCAAGCAGTCATTTGTTGAATATTTTAGATGTAATAAGATCATGAGGGTGAGTTCAGGGAAGGTCATGGCGTAATTGAAACCGGAACATCTCCTGCACTTTTTTTTACACCGCCGCTTGCTTGTCGCCATTGTCAACATTTATCTGAATGTTGAATCGTTTAATAGTCACGAAATGCCTAACCTTGGTGGTGTTTCGCAACTTTTTAAACTCCACTTCTACATTTAGTCACGTTTTCCCATTTCGTTATATTTGGTGTTATATTGATTCTTTTACTTGTGATTGAACATGTTTGACAGCACTAATTTTTCCATTTTATCTGGACAGAGGCCCTGAAAAAAAAATATCACATACCAGCCGAACACGTAAGAATCTGCAGCTATTAGTCTTTCCGGGGTTGTAAGGAACATTATGGAGCGACGTGATGATGCAAAATAGCTGGGGGCGCCCACCCACTCACCCCCAAAACGAAAGTGGGTGCTCCGTCCCTGCAGCCCGGCAATCTTTGCAATCAGGCAGTAATGCTAACAGCAACTGTTTCAGATTATGCTGCAGGAAATCCTCGGTGCTCTCTGCTCGAAACAATTTACCCTGACATGAGTGTGTGGGAGAGTTGGGGGGGGGGGACGTCTTCTTTATATTCAGGCCCCATTCTGATAACCTTATCTCCCCCACAATAAATTTAAAAATATGTTGGATTATTTGTAATATTATTTTAGCCAGTTTTGCGAGTGCTAATATCTATCGCATGTTGGTTTGCACTGTATATTTATTTCATCAGCCAGTGAACTTGACCTTTATTTATGTTTTTTTTTCCTTTCTCCAACAGGATGTTTGCTGTTTAGGTCTGAAAACGGACGTTCTTATAAAAGATGAGTGCTCACTCTTTCCCATGGCCCGCAATCGACAAGACGAACTCAATAGACAGCGAAAAAAAAACATGGCCGAGTAGCAAAAAAAAAAAAAAAAGTAATTCGTCCCCCCCGCCTGCAAAAAAACCCCCAAAAAAACCGCACCTGAAACAAAAAAAAACTAATTAGCGTTTGTTTTCCCTCGTCGAGTACATGAGCAACTGTTCTAACAGGACGTAATACTTTTATCGAGATTTATAATTAACCAAACAAGCGACTTACTTTTCAGCTTTTTTTGTTTTCTGCCACGTGTTAACTTGTGGCGATGAGATCTCGAAGTTTTTCGAATCGTGCGCAAAAATGAACATGAGAGAGAGAGAGAGAGAGAGAGAGAGAGAGAGAGAGAGAGAGAGAGAGAGAGAGAGAGAGAATGTTTTGTTTGTTTGTTTGTTTGCTTGCTTGCTTAAATCCACAAATATAAACCACTGCAGAATGAGGTCAGACAAATCCATTACTTTTAGTTTTATTTGGAACTAATGGCAGGACCTGACTAGAATTATTTTAACAAAATATAAATTAAGAAAACGAGTAGTCCGCATAAGTGTTTTGTTCAGGGTTTTAGGTCTTGTTTGGGCTTTCATGTGCAAGAGATAATAAAAACCTCCCGTCGGGGCGATATACAGATTAAGCGCATAAAGGAATTTTAAGTTCGAATCACATTTAACGACAGGTCAGTCTATATAATAAGGTATAGGCTACAATCGTGTTATTTCATACATCAATCTGATACACTCATCAGTCCTCTTTTGTATTTGTTTTTTTTTTCTTCGTCAAATAAAATAGCGTCTTTAAGAGCCCAAATCCACAAGGCTGGAGGTTAGGGGTCCCAACAAGGAGTCCTGCAGCTGGTGCGGGTGTCCGTGCATGCCGTGCACCGGCTGTGGGGCCCCCAGGCCGGGCATGGAGTACGCGGAGGCCCCGGGGTGGACCATGTTGCCCTGGAGCAAAAGCGCAGAGTTCTGGTCGGGGCTCTGAGGGGGAGAAAATTCGTCCTCCGAGCTGGACATGAGCGATTTTCCTCCGTCCAGCGGGGACAGCTGGTTCTGTTTGTTGCCGCCTGCGTTGTTGTTTTCGCTGTTCTCCCTGCATGGGAGAAATGACACGACAGCATGGCGTCAAATCAGGGTGCATCTTGTGATTTCTTATTGGCAATTCCGAGAGGATTTTCTTCACTCATAGTCCTAATTGAATAATATAGTAAATTAAAAACAAAACAGAAATTGAAATAATCAAATAGGAAAATGTAAAACTGTATTTTGGAAGAGCAAAAATATTCAAGCGTGTGTTCTGCTTATTTTCGAATCCATGCACCCTGAAAAAAAATATTTTAACCACGGTGGTTGTGATTTATAGTATGGACGTGTTTTGGAGTACCTTTCCTTGGCCTCCGCGGCTCTGTCCCGCTGCCGTCTGTTTTTGAACCAGTTGCTGACCTGCGTGGTGGTCAGTCCCGTGGCCTCGGCCAGCTCCCTCTTCTCCCGCGGGGACGGGTACGGATTATGCGTGTACCACTCCCGCAGGACCCCCCTGGACTTCTCTTTAAAGCAGTAGCTGGTCTCCTCGCCGTCCCATATCGTGCGCGGCAGTGGGAATTTCCTCCTCACGCGGTACTTCCCCACGGCGCCGAGCGGCCGACCGCGCAGCTTCTCCGCCTCCACGTAGTGCGCCTTGAGCCACAGCTGCTGCAGTTTGGGGTGGTTGTGCGCGGAGAACTGGTGGCTCTCCAGGATCTTGTAGAGCTCCCGGAAATTGCCCCGGTGGAAAGCCACCACCGCTTTCGCCTTCAGGACGCTCTCGTTCTTGTGTAGGTGGTCGCAGGCGGGGAGCGACCACAAGAAGCGACCGAGCCTCTCCAGGTTGCCTCCCTGCTGCAGCACCTCACACACGCACGCCACTTGCTCCTGGGTGAAGCCGAAAGACGGTAAAATCGACATGATGGGAAAAGAAATCCCCCCAAATGGACGTTTATGTCTTCTTCTTTTCTCGTCGCGATGCAAATCCTTCCGCGTTTGGCCTGCCCACTCTCCTCTCCTCTCCTCTCCTCGATCTCCGCTCCTCGCCGCACTCCCTTCACTCTCCGGCAGATTTGGGATGTTGATTGTCGGGACAATTTGTTCCTCGAGGAGATATGTCAGGCTTAAAGGGAGCCCAGTGCGTTCCGGTGATTGGCTCTGCGTCTGCCCTAAACCCCTGTACAGCAGAGCAGCACTGACTTTGCAGCTCCGTTTCCTCCCCAGAGGCAGCGCGTCAGGGGCTGAAATAGGAGCGCGCCTCCACCTCCACCTCCACCTCCCGCCCCCACGGCAGCTCCTAAACACTAATCAATTATTGCAGACCTCTTAAAGGCCGCATTAAACTGCTTCGACGATGTAGATATTATTTAGAGTCGGGATTAATCGCACATGAGCAGGGGTAAACCTTTCAAAATCGTAGTCATGCAAAAATCTGTACCAGATAAGCAAATTAAAGTGGCAAGATGTATTTGTTGGGCGCGGGGGTTCATTTGATTGTTATAGTGAGTTTTTGTGCGTGTGGATGCGAGTGTATGTGTGTGTGTGTGTGTGTGTGTGTGTGTGTGTGTGTGTGTGTGTGTGTGTGTGTGTGTGTTGAGGCCTTTCTTGTAAACGCCCATCTCCCTTAATTACATACAGATTGTTGTATCTGCACTACCTTTTCACAGTCTAATAATTACCGAGGCCGTTTATTTTATGGGGTGATATAATTTAATAAGTTCCTATGATGGCTAGGTTTGGTGTCCCAGTAAGCACGTCTTTTGTAAGACAAACCACAACTTGCCAAACGGTCTATAGACCACGTGTGTGTGTGTGTGTGTGTGTGCGGGGGGGAAGCGCATGCGTGTGTTTGTGCGTGTGAGAAAGAGACTCTGACACGATTCATTGGCTGTACAGTATACAAAAACAAATCTCAATTGCAACTCTGACGCGTTAAATTTACTATGGTCCTAAAAGCGAGAGAGCGACCCTGATATGATTCATTTTGATATACAAGGCTGCACAATCCAAAAACAATCTCGATGCAACTCTGTCGCATTAAATTGAAAAATAGGGCTACGTATCTTTTTTTTTTTTTAATGAAGACTTGACACTTCAAATTTATATGCATGACGTCTGTTGAATTATGTCCACGAGGGGGGAAAAAACCCATCACGCTGAGTTATCTAAGCCGTTTCCTCCTTTATTTTTCTGCCTCATCATGTTTTTGTAGGGTTTTTTTTTCTCTGAATTTTTACTGGCCTCGATTTCAGATTAGACCGGCAACGTAGTGGCTCTATGCGGCGTTTTTTTCGGTGGGCTGAAACACTAAACCGATCCATTAGTAAATGAGTTCGAGGTACCACATTGGTCCGTGTGCTGCAGCAGTTGTTGGTTCGAGCCTCAAGGATCACATTTCTTTGTCTACGCCCTGCACACTCTTGAAACCGGATTCCCCTTTTTAAAATGCTTATATATTTAAAAATGAGATCGAAGTTGTTGCATTCGTGTTGCATGGTTACTCGTGTGCTCATATACTTAATTAAATCAATATGTTTTGATCAAAGTGTAAGTAATTAACATCAATTTAATTGTAATAAGTGTTGTTTTTTTTACCTTTACAAAGATAGACTGGGGTCAAACTTGCCCGAGTGTTGTGATTTTTTTAATTGATTAATTCTTGATTATTTTTTACGATTTTTGTAAATGCTATTTGTTAGCAAAGGGAACAATTTGAGACTTTGATTTATATATTCAAACTTAACGTTGGAGGAAATCAATTTTCAATACGGTGTCATGCAAACACAGACTTGAATATGCACATATATAGCATTGCATTGCTCAAGAGCACTTGACCATGCTCCAAAACAACCAGCAGCTTTCTTTATGAGTTGGTGGTTCTCTTCCAGTAAATCCAACCTCTCTGAAGGCAATTAATTTTGGAAAGAAATATGATAACAATTGAGCCAATATTATAATTAATTATTGTGAGTATTCGTGGATTGACTTTTTTTAACACAGAAAAGGGTTCGAGTCTTCACATGATTTTTGAATTGCATTATCAAATACCCTTGCAGGCCATTTGTATCCCTACAGACTGTAGGACCCCCACTCGTGACTGAGGGAGGAGCTTGTGGTTGTCATGCTCTTTTTGTACCTTTTTAAATTTTGCTGACTGAATTACTATAATAATAATAAGAAGAATAATCTTTCTTCTATATTATATCCGATATACATTTATAAAATTCGAACTCAAAATATAAATACACATACCAAAAAAATCGTATCACCTGACAGGCAGAAACCCAACGTTGTCTGATATTGATTCACAGCTTGAAATTTACAAAAAAAAAAAAAAAAAAGATCAGGGCTATAGACCGGTAAAAAAAAATGCAAATGATTTGGCCTTTGGATTGCAATCTGACCTGATGTGTCTATAAACACATGTGCACGTTGCCGGACAGTATAACAAAAGGACATATGTGGCTGTGTAAAAGCTTGAGTGAATGAGCTGTCTGATGAGCAGCTCTCGGGTTTCTCTAATATCTCTACCACATTGCGACGCGCCTCCTCCTTTAACCCGAGCAGCCCGGGGGGCGAAATTATTTCAAGATGTCGACTCTCCATCGGCCACGGCCAGAGCTGAGTCCCCGCTCCCCACCCATTTTACCCGTGCAAGTAATGCAATCCTCGGGGATACTACAGGCTATCACTTGTTAGTGCTTTCTCAATATGATTTGCGGGGATTTACCGACGAAGTGTTCCATGCGAGTGTGAGGGACAACACAATAACAAACATTTCAGTGTTCGTTTTCACCCTGTTCAAATACACCTGAGCTGCCCTGTTAAATTATTCCAAACGTATATTCATTATTAATTGTCCCATTGGGACAAAAGTCTTTTTCGCCAAGCGTTGTCAGGGAAACCAATGAAATGCTACATTTCTCCCCAGTCGAGAGGAGGAAAAATAAGAGAGACTCGAGCGGGAACACACAAGAGTACGCTTCATAAAAACGTCACCATCAAAAGGCTTCCCCATATAGCGGGGGTTTATATTTGTAAAATATGGAGGAAAAGTGAAACGGCTCACAGATGGTTTTCCCTCCATCTAAATCCAAAGTGCTATTTCAGCTGCATTGAGTGGAACAGCGTTGATGCTGTTGAAATTAGCCAGATAAAGTCCTGCAGGGAAGTTTAGTTTAGTCTGACTTTTTTTTTCCTGGGCGGAGAGTGAATTCAAATCAAGAGAACACGTAGATTTGGCCTTCTCGATGTGCGTTTTTTTGTACACCACAATGATACGAAAAAAAAACACGAGGTTGTCCATAAATGTTAATGAGCAAATCAATTACGCCTTTCGTTGAGTGTGTCCCAAATAAAAAGGCAGACCCTTCTCCTCAAACGCAACACAACTGTTGACATGAGTGAGTTAAATGAAATTGGAGCTGCAATTATCAGCTTAACAGAGTTTCCTGTCATGTTGGAAAATTAGAGCTGCTACAAGTGCACTGGGGCTTCGACCCCCCTCCCCATCAAAATCATTACGCATTTCCTCCAGAGGGCCGACTCCACAAATGCGTTGCAATTACAGCCTCGGCGCGTTTACGGCGCTGCGGTCCGTAAACACACCACCAGCAAACTATTTTGTTAGGGCTGGGGAGGTGTGTGTGTGTGTGGAAGGGGGGTATTTTTTTGGGTGCAGAAATAAACAAACAGCACGGGCTGAAAAGCGCAAACAGGACGAGATAGTTGTGGCGCTCTTGTGTGCATGCTGGCAGGGAGGGGGCGCCAAGACAATACTTTCACACAACTCTTATAGTAACTCCTTCAACGCGTACGCATGTGTCTACGTGTGCGTGTGCGTGTGCGTGTGCGTGTGTGTGTGTGTGTGTGTGTGTGTGTCGTCCATCCCCCCTCCATCAGCTGTTAGCAGCACTGATGTGTCTCCGTCTTTCCCACACTAACTCCTTATTCCTCAATATTGTTCCCCATTGGGACAAAAGTCTTTTTCGCCAAGCGTTGTCAGGGAAACCAATGAAATGCTACATTTCTCCCCAGTCGAGAGGAGGAAAAATAAGAGAGACTCGAGCGGGAACACACAAGAGTACGCTTCATAAAAACGTCACCATCAAAAGGCTTCCCCATATAGCGGGGGTTTATATTTGTAAAATATGGAGGAAAAGTGAAACGGCTCACAGATGGTTTTCCCTCCATCTAAATCCAAAGTGCTATTTCAGCTGCATTGAGTGGAACAGCGTTGATGCTGTTGAAATTAGCCAGATAAAGTCCTGCAGGGAAGTTTAGTTTAGTCTGACTTTTTTTTTCCTGGGCGGAGAGTGAATTCAAATCAAGAGAACACGTAGATTTGGCCTTCTCGATGTGCGTTTTTTTGTACACCACAATGATACGAAAAAAAAACACGAGGTTGTCCATAAATGTTAATGAGCAAATCAATTACGCCTTTCGTTGAGTGTGTCCCAAATAAAAAGGCAGACCCTTCTCCTCAAACGCAACACAACTGTTGACATGAGTGAGTTAAATGAAATTGGAGCTGCAATTATCAGCTTAACAGAGTTTCCTGTCATGTTGGAAAATTAGAGCTGCTACAAGTGCACTGGGGCTTCGACCCCCCTCCCCATCAAAATCATTACGCATTTCCTCCAGAGGGCCGACTCCACAAATGCGTTGCAATTACAGCCTCGGCGCGTTTACGGCGCTGCGGTCCGTAAACACACCACCAGCAAACTATTTTGTTAGGGCTGGGGAGGTGTGTGTGTGTGTGGAAGGGGGGTATTTTTTTGGGTGCAGAAATAAACAAACAGCACGGGCTGAAAAGCGCAAACAGGACGAGATAGTTGTGGCGCTCTTGTGTGCATGCTGGCAGGGAGGGGGCGCCAAGACAATACTTTCACACAACTCTTATAGTAACTCCTTCAACGCGTACGCATGTGTCTACGTGTGCGTGTGCGTGTGCGTGTGCGTGTGTGTGTGTGTGTGTGTGTGTCGTCCATCCCCCCTCCATCAGCTGTTAGCAGCACTGATGTGTCTCCGTCTTTCCCACACTAACTCCTTATTCCTCAATATTGTTCCTCCAAACAGCAGCTCCCAGCAACCTGGGGAGAGCTAAACTTTGCCGGCAGCAGCGGGAAGTAGCTCAGTAGTGGTGGGTCTCTACGAGCCAGGCTGGTACCCGCCGACCCCTGCCCTCTCATTAGTGGGACGTGGAGCAGCGGAGTACGGTCCTCCCCAGGTCATGTTACATATGGCTTGCAGTCTGCTGCGCCGCATTAAATGTCAGCTTTCAAAGCATCTAAAAGTTCAGAGGTCAGTGTTTTTAATAAGGCCGGGGTTCTGGAGGAGTTGCCTACCCCCCCACCCCCCCTGCAAGTATGTTTTGAGTAAATATGGGCAAAATAGAGTATATGCGTATGGGATGGTCAGATTTTCCCGCATGAAGGATGCGATTGAATGTTCAATGTCACACTTGTGGAAAATGAACTGTGTGTATGATGCAACAATGGTGATCATTTCCCTTTGCATTCATAGGCTTCATAAACCAAGGTTGAAGTTTTCTTCCTCTTCTCTCCTCATCCTCTGCGTGAGAGTCAGCCCATGGCTCCTGCGTGCTCACTCCAAATGGGATATTGTTCTGGCCTCTAACAAAGCTGTTTTCACCCTCTTCAATATTGCAGGAGGGCTGGGGGGGTCACCCGATACCCAACAATCAGCTAATCCACTGCCCATGGCGACGAGGTCACCTGTGCACAGGTAACTTTATCCCAGCCTCGCCCTCCCTTCCTGCTTGGCTCACCCATTTGTCTCGCTGCCTTTGCTCCAACAATGAGCACAGACAAATAGCCTCTGTTTATGTGGACCACCAGTTAGATCGCATCCAATTCCTTGGGCCTGAATGTCAATAATCCACCACAGACACGCCACGGATAAAGTCAAATCCCTCGTTGTTTGTCCTCTTGTCAAATCTGGCCTTTTTCCTATCTCTCTGTGCTAGTTTGGTCGGGCGCCACAGCGTGAGGACACACATTTGGTGGGAATTTGTGAATTTCCAGAGAATCCCCTCAAGCCATGTGAGGAGTTCAGGCTCTCTGTGGATCGAGCCTCAGTGTCTGTTGAGTGACAGCACCTCAGATTCATTCTTCCACATGTTGGTCAGGAGCAGAGAGGAGGAGGATTGGTTTGGGGGGTGGGGGGGGGGGTTGTTTGGCCTTCGCCCAGGCCATTGGATTGGACTGGGCTCTGTGGAGCCGTAGACCCCCCACCCCAAAAGGCTTTACCTCTGGAAATCTCATTGCTGTTTATTTGAATTACAGGGGCTGAGATGAGAAAAGGAGGGCTAATGAAGTCCAGGTTGCCAGGCATGTGCAAACGATCACTTGCAGAGATCGCAAGCGGCAGCAGGCTCGCTGGATTATAGCATGCTAGTTCCCCCCCTCATCCTCACACTTTGGCTACTTAAATGTTGAAGAGACATATGCTTTGTGTCTTTTATCTCTCATAAAGCTGTGAGCAGACATGTGTCGCCCGTACACGGAGGGGTCAAAAGCGACCCGCTGTTTTTTTTTTTTTTTTTTTGCTTTGTTTCTTTTGCAAGGATCAACACTGTCTTTAACTCTTTTTATAAATATAGACTTTTATTGCATTACAGAGGTTTAGAAAAATACATTCACATAATTTCAGATAACAAACATTTTGTCCAAACTAAGTTAAAAAAAAAATTGCCCATCGCTCACTTCTTGCATATGAAGTTTAAGCACTGAGAAATTGGTAGACTTTAATTAGGAGTCTGGTAACACACACACACCAAAAAAGCGAAGTTTGATGCACTCAAGAGATGAACGCCTCGAGTTGGCCGGAACGCTGAAATGTGCTATGATGGTCTTTCATTTATGACAGGGAGAATGTCTTCTCTGGTTAAAAAAAACAAAAAAAAAAAACAAAAAAAGTCCCAGACTCACTTGACAAATGGCCTCCACATTCTCGTCTTCTCCTAATCTGACACCCAACAAATATTCCGAGTAAAGGCCGAAGTAACAGCAGTGGTGGAGGCGGTGGAAATTTGCTGAATCTGAGGTCTTGCCTTCAGATTGCAAAGCTTCCTTTCAGTGTTATTCACTATGTAAAAAAAACGAAAGACTAAAAAATGTCATTGCAACCCTTGTCTGTTTTTAAAAAAAAAAACGTTTGTCCTTTTTGTTCCTGATCCATTTGGGAAGCATACATATTTGCGCCGGGAATTGCCGACATTTGTAGAGGCACGTTCAAAAGAAACACGATAAAACATCTTCACACCCATTTAACGTAGCCGTCTTGAACAACGTATGATTGACATGTGAACCCCACAGTGTGACCTTTTCATTCAATTGGCGACAAGGCTCGAAGATAGCTTTCGCTCATGTGCATTTGTTGAGGCCTGTGATAAACAACAGCGGGAAGCCCAGATAATGTCGTGATGGTAGTGCAAATGCCAAAAAAGGTACATTCATCTTTGAGACTCGAGAGGCAATTTAAGGTGCTTACTGAAGGGCACTTAGTCCGAAATGAGCAGCTTTGTGTGTTGAATGACATTCTGTCCGTACATGTGCGAAGTCCTTCAGTAAAACTGGCCCACATCCACAGACTTGCTTCCCCTCATCCCCCCTTATGAATGACCTTTTTGGTTTGACCCAGATGACGCATTTAGTTTGGAGGAACATCCTGGTCATGTGACTTGCGGCATGCCAGCACCTGTTTCGGCAAATCAAGTCCACTCAACAGGAAGTAGCAGGTGTTGCCTGTAAAACTGCACTTTTAAACACGGCTCAAACAACATTCGCTGACTGCTGCAATAAGTCGGAACATTCTGTGTGAAGAACACAGCTCGTTTTTAACCATGTTCTGGATTCTTTTTTTTTTTTTTTTTTTTTTTGCATAAGTGTCCAGGCGTGCTAACAGGCCTTCTGTCTTAAGTGAGTGCATTGTAGAAGTCAACACAGTATTGTCAAATAATTTAACAGATAAACAAAATTAATGATTAAAATAAATCACACACACGCACACACAAAATATTATCGCCGCTCGCATGGACATGCGTGCTTCTGCTTTGAGGTTAAAGGTCAGCCATGTCTTCATCCATCTGCACTGTCTGTAGTTTGGCTAGCTCCTTCCCCTCCACAGGCTCCATGTCGCCGCACATGGCCCGGACCATGTCAGTCACGCCAGCCTGCCCCGGGTTGTCCACCTTGTTCTCTGACAGGCTCATGTACTCGTTGTCCATGCAGGGGCCCATTAGGTGCGAGGGCTGGGGCGCCCGGACCTCGTGTCCCCTAAGATACTCGGCGGGCTGGAGGTGGTGACTGCTCAGGTTCGTTTGGGCCATAAGCGGCGTGCTGACGGTGAGCGTGGTGTAGACTTCGGGGCTGGACGAGGTGGCGGCGCTGGCGGAGACCGGGGCTTGGCTGGATGGCGTCTCTTCGGAGCTGGCGGTCGAGTAGCCCATCTGTCCGCTCGGGTCCAGGTGGAGCCCGTGGTGGTATGAGGAGTAGCCGCCTCCCTCCAGAGGCTCCTTTTTGATGGGCGACTGGTTGACGCTGCTCATATTGTAGAGGACGGTGCTGTGGTGCAAAGAGGTCATGGACAGCTTGTCTTGCTGCTGAAAGGAGTCTTCGCTGGACGAGCTCACCGCAACATCGTTCAGAGCTATTGTACCTGTGGCCAGACAACAGACAACGCATCAATGCTGACATCACCTATGGTAAATCCATTCTCACTTCTCATATTATTCATATGTGTGTGTGTATATGTTTGATTGAGAGGCCTCGGCCTCCAGGCAGCTGTTGTGCGTCTCGCACACATCGTCTTGTTGTAGCTCAAGTCTGCGGTGCCTCAACAGCAAGCTGCACTCGCTGGTTTTGCTTTCAATTCCTCCTGGCGTGGATTCTCTGCTCAATGTCAAAGTAAGTGCTGTAATGGCATATTCGCTGTTCCCTCTTAGTGCATTTCATGGCCTCTGATTGCCTGAACCATGTTTTCGCTACTTCCCGGCTCTGAAGCTCAAGAGTGCCACGATGATGAGTGATGGTGACTTGCTTTTCTTCATCTCTGGACTTTTCAAAGAACCAGTCCTTTCTCTCTCTGTGTTAGGGGGAGCGGGTGTCTCTTTTCCACACACGGTGTTTTGTGCGGCATAAGCCAGTTAAAATACATCCATGAATGAAGTAGCTCAGAGTGAAAAAGGCGTCTGGAGATTAGCACTTCAACGTTTTAAAAAGGGCAAAATACTGTCCTAATATCAATCAATGCTCACCATATCAAATTACATTGAAGCTTGAATTCTCCAGAATTTCATCTCAATTCGTCTATTAAAGTACGGCATTAACGAACGTGTAAACTACAGTGATTTTTCACAGACCCTACCTTGTGTGATTGAGGAGGAAGAGGACGAGGAGGAGAGCTGCAGGGGAGGAAGGGCCACATCGCTGTTAAGCAGCGAGCTTCCATCACCGTCAGACACGCCGCTGGGTACCTGCACTAGGCTGTAGCCACCCAGCGAGGAGCTGAAGGTCAGCACGGAGGAGCCCCCGTTCTGGGCGCCCATGGTGTGAACCCCCTCCAGCTTCACGGCCCCTCCGTTCACACAGCCCGAGTAGGAAGAGACGTATTGCAGTGCCGAGTCCTCAGCAGAGCCACCCAGTCCTTTCTCCTGCATGTCCTCTCCGGAGCCTCCCAGCAGCACTGCCCCAGATGGCCTCAGAGTGTTAAACGCCAGAGGTTGAATGCCCAAATTGAGCCCGTTGAAGAGGATGTTCCCAGGTGAGTGGAGGTAAGACGAGCCGCCGTTGTGGAACGTCGCCGAGGAGGTACTGTTGGGGACCAGACTTCCGTTGTAGAGCCCCCCGCTGTTGGATCCAGCAGGCATTTTGATGTCCCCGATTTGCTGAATGACTACCCCACTGTCCAGAGGCCCTGTTTGAATTGGAATTGTCCCATGAGTGATAACACCATCTGATGAGTTGGAGAGGGGCCTGGGTGACAATTCATCTTGACCTTTGGTGGACTCATCCTCTGTGCTGTGGTTTCCATCAGATTCACTGGGGGGCAAACGATGGAGGACAGGTAATAAGAAATAGCAAGTCATAAAATACGGATGTACTGTAAAGCCTATTACACAGTTTTTGTATGATAAATTTCTAATCATATTTTTTTTTTTCAAAGTTAATTTTCCTAGCTGTTCACATGTTACAAGCAAGAGCCACCTTGGGTCACATTTGTTGTTGTGTTATGAAGCTATACACAGCTTTGAAGAGCAGGGTGTGCTTGGGAATGCGTTGCCCTCTTGCCTCATGGAGAGACGACCAGCGTCAACAAGCGTGCAACCATTTGGCGCAATAAATTCTGGTGTGATAAAAAACAGCCAGCAGTGCTGTGGTCATGGTGGTGGGACGCAAAACAAATGGCTTCAAATGCTCTCCGGCCTTTACTTGAAATGTAACCCTGATTTTACAGTTCCATTAAAATGCTCTATATGCATCAATTTTGCGTTTTTAAAAAAAGTATATGCAATGTAGTTATTTCAATTCATAGCCTTCTGTCTTAAGATTGATTCTAACAGCTGCTCCCCCACCCACTATAGGGCAAAACTTCTTTAACCCCCCCCTCCACCCCCTATACTATTACCCCTCCAGGAACAGATAACACAAGTGCGGCTTCCACTCAATATAAACGGCATATTTTATTTTAGCAGGTGGCCATCTTTTGTCTGTTCATGTGTGTACGCGCGCATATATTATTGTGAGAGGCAAAATAGGTCTCTCTCTCTCTCTCACGCGCACGCGCGCGCGCACACACACACACACACACACACACACACACACACACACACACACACACAGAGCCACATGAAAGAAGGCAGACATCAGACATTCGGTGATTAAATAATAACATTGTTGACTCATGTGTCCACACGCATGCACGCGCGCTTTGAGAAATAATGAATGACAAATTTAAACGTGCTTAATTAAAATCTCCCCCTCCCTCAACTCCGTATGTAACTATTTCAAAGTGTACTGGGTGTCTGAGCGTTATCGTTGGTTTCCACGCCACACTTGAAACCGGATCTGAATGGCAACCAGTTCATATTTCAAAACACTACAAACGTGCTCGACACCCGCAAACGTATATTGCACTGTAGATATTTTCCTGATTTATGACGCCTTACCGTCACAAATCAAACAAAGACAGAATTTGTGAGTTGGAGAATTATGCGCAAGGTGCTCCACGTTGGCCTCACCTTTTGGACTGAGCCTCGGACGGATTTCTGTCCCTCTGCCTCCTGTTCTTAAACCAGTTGCTGACCTGGGTCAAGGAAAGTCCCGTAATCTTGGCGAGGTTGCGTTTCTCGGCCGGAGAGGGGTACCGGTTCTGGTTGTACAGGTCTTTCAGTGCGTTCCGAGACCTCTCCTTGAAGCAGTAAACCGTCTCCTCGCCGTCCCAGATAGTCCTCGGGAGAGGGTACTTTCGCCGGATCCTGTACTTGTCCACGGCGCCCAGGGGTCTCCCCCGTGCCTTCTCCGCCTCTGTGTAGCGGGCCTTGTACCACAGATCCTGCAGGAAGGTGTGGTTGGACGGGCTGAAGCTGTGGTTCTCCAGAATACTGTAGAGCTCCTGATAGCGAGCCTGGTGGAAGGCGACGAGGGCTTGGGCTTTCAGGATGCTTTCGTTGCCGCGCAGCAGATCGCTCTGGGGCAGGGACCAAAGGAAACGGGCCAGGCGGTCCACGTTGCCCCCCTGTTGCAGAGCCTCGCACACGCACGCCACTTGCTCCGGGGAGAAGGCCAGCGAGGAGGCGGCGCTCACCAGCAGCTCCGTGCGCACCGTCTCCGCGTTGGGCGCCGCTCGCTCCATGGACAATTCGGCCGCCTCCAGCGCCACAAGCTTGATGCACTCCCGCTTGTCCGCCTCCTTCACATTTTCCCTCTTGATGTCATTTGCTCGTGTGACTTCTCCGGCAGAAGAAGAAGACATTTTCCTTTTTTTTTTTTTTTTTTTGCTCAAGGCTTCCCTGGTCGAGTCACTCCTCCTCCCAGCTCGATCAGGTTACCTCCTCGCCATGCGAAGGCGATCGAATATCTGACAGCAGCTGTAAGTAGATACTTCTCTCTCTCTCTCCCTCTCGCCTCCCAACGTGACTTTTTACTCCACGCCGACTGCAAGTGGAAGGAGACACGCTGAGGTCTATGCGCGGAACAGCCATCCTATTGGCCGCCGAGGGCCCGGCGGAGGGAGGAGCGACGGGGAAACGGAGGACGCGAATGTTTGCTTTTCAGCTGTCAGTCATGCAAGCTCCGCTGTTCTGTAGTCCGAACAGAGCGCTCACCTGTACTGTCCAGTCTGTACAAGGTGAGCACTTCCACGAGCGTGGGAATGAGTTTGAGACAAGTGAAAGGCTTTTTTTTAATGTTGCGAAAACAACAAATGTTCGCGTCTCTACAACAAACTGGGTAGTTCCTGGAGTCAATTGTAGTAATGTAAAATTGCTTGCAGAGAGGTGGCAAAACACTCTGTATTTTTGTAGAACTTGTTTAAAAAAAAGACTGATAAGATTCCAAGCACTGATGCAACTTTTACGAAAAATAAAAATAAATCTTCAGAATCAGAAATAAGTAGTATAAATATATATATATATTTTTTTTTACTGACAATAGCCTAATACAATGGACCCCGAATATTAGCGGTTTGGCATTGCACTTACAGCATTCACTGATATTTTTGGTGAACCTCTGCCTCACACCCATTTATTCGTTGCATTTCTTTTGATCACCTGCTTGTTTTCAGTTTTTAACCCGATCATTTCAATATTTGTGTTATTTTAGGGGGTAAAAAATCGGGGGGAAATTAATGGCACTTGTGTGTCAAGTATTTGCGGATTTTTTGCGGTCAGGCCTGCTCCCAACTATCCTATCCCCCACTAATTGCGGGGCCTGGTCAACTGCACTCATTTTTAAAACAAAAGGCACAAGGGAAAAACTTTGCCACTAACAAAATCAAAACGTATTCACAGCTTTACTGAGGTTGTGAACCTATAAAAATATCCAAATTAGCCAATAAGAACTTATGGCACAAAAATTACTTTTTTTCCCAATCACTTTCAATTTAAATTGAGTCACTTCATTAGGTACTCTTGCACAAACTAATGTGATCAATGGATGATTAAAAATATGGGTCTCGAAAATTATTATCTTATGTCATTGGCACAGTTAATGTAAGTATACCATTATGTTTATTATTGTGGTTGTACAACTCCAATTCGTCATTCTTGTATATCACATATTAATTTGAGCTCCTTCATTTAGCTGACTAAGGTCACCAGATTAGAAAGAAAAAACAACATGACGCAGTGCAGAAAAGACCCAGTCACACACACACACACAAAAAAACGTATGAATTGTTGACCATACGGTCATATTAGTCAGGAATAGTTGACAAGCAACATTTTTTAAAGAAAGTGACGGAAAACCTTTATCACACTGGACTGAGTAAATATTGTGACACGCATTATCCATTAAAACGATGGCAATTATAATATAATGCGTTTGTTTTCGTACAGTGTCACAGGTACTTTTAATAAACGCCATAATAGTGTATCCATTAATTTACTATGCGTGAGAAAGAATGGGACAAAATCAACCATTTGAGCATAACGTTTCAATAGCACTTTGGAAATTAATCTCTTTGGGACTGTAAAACAGCACAATAACAAGAACTGTGTATAAATACGACTTTGAGCGTCTGTTCAAGATGAAGTCCTTCCGCGATTTTAAAGCGAGAGGAAAGAGGAACTCTTGATATTTGTTTCCAGTCGGACCTTATTCGATGAAGCACAAGAGTCACCCGCCGGAAATGTGAGCACTGGAGTTGCAAGTTTCTGCTATTTTTTTCCTCTTTATCGTCCTCATTTTGCGGTTACAGAGGAACGAAATGGACGACCAAAGCTGTCCGAGATGCAAAACAACCAAATACAGGAACCCTTCGCTCAAGCTGATGGTGAACGTGTGTGGACACACGCTGTGAGTATTTACACTTTGACTACACAGACTCACTGGACAAAACATTTACTCTGCTCCAATAGCAACTTTAATCCACACTCATTAATACACAACGCATCTGCCTTTCAACTCAGTATATATAACCAGTTTAACGTGATTACTTGTTAAACACGAATAAATGATTGTGTTAGTGTCAGCAAGTGTTCAGCATAGCTAATGCAAAATAAACACTTGGTGGCATTTGCAGTCTTGTGCAGCGATCTGAACTTAGTCGGTGATTTGTTTTGAGTTGAATGATCATAATGATCATGATAACCACAATAGTTGTTCACCGAGTTGTCACAATGACAAAGCATGGAATTATATACTGCTAAATTACACCCTGAGCAGTTGGAGTTCTATCCCTTGCTCAAGGGCATCATCAGTACTAACAGCAAGCAAACCACCATCTCATTCATTCAACCATATTGATTTCAATAGCAGGGATTGTAGTGTGACCATCCAGTAACCATCACATGCGGACTCTATGCACCATCATCCCACAACATTATGACCAAAATATTCCAACTGAACGAAATGTTGACAATTTTGTCTCTTGAAAATATTCTTTTTTTCCCTATGTGCAGAGACATTGGGTATAGCCTGTATGTTGTGCAAAGAAAATGTTCCTCTTTTTTAATTGACATTGTTAGAGAGGTGTTAATTTAACAGTACATTAGTGGTGTACAACTGTACTGCATCATAATGACAGGTGTGTCTTAGTGTTTTGGTTACCTCGCTTAGTTACATGAGCTCGTCAAACACAATTTGACACAGCAACTTTCGGCATTAAAATCTGTTTGCTTGGCACTTTTCGAGATTTAACCTTGTCAACTGTGTACCAGCTTTTTTAAAGGGGACACGTAAGCAACAATCGGGGCAGCCTGACGAGAGCATCTTTTCAACCCCCTATACTATTTAGTTATTGACTGCTCCATTAGGAAGCGGCCGTGCTTTGTCATCAGGTCAGCCTCAGTATAATCTGACTACACGACCGCACGCAGAAAATTAAAAAGTATTCTGCAATGTCGCAATTTAAGTTGTCCCACTGCTAGGTCACCTTTTTACTTAGGTAGGCCTGCTGCACACAAAGAGACACGGCATAAACCGGCTGAACTGTTGTGCAACAAGTGGTCGCGAGTGGCCCGACCATTGGGGAACTGTTTTTTGCAGCGATGCAAAATGCCAATGAATGGTGTCACAACATTGCAGAAATGCTAGGTCCAATGTTCCAGTTCTAACCAAGATTCAGACGGCCGCTGCCATTGCTGATCGGTTATATGTGGAACGGTCAATCGCTTCATGTGCGGTGGGGAGTCACGCATTGTATTATTTTTTTTTTGGTTGCGATTTTCCTGTTCAGACACTTTTGGGTGCCTCTCTAAATGCGTAGCAGTTGACTTAAAACATTACAGTATGTCTTGTAGAACTGTACTGTATCAGATAGCCTTTTCCCCCCGATTCTTATGTCGTCCTACCTTGGAATAACTGTCAACCTGACGCTAAGTTGGTGTCCATTCCACAGTGGAGTTGATTTGACTTCCTACCCTGGCAATGCAATGTAGTGCATTGCAATGCAGCGCAACACGATGCAGTATCAAGCTTCTCCAACGCTCGCGGTCTAAATTTAAACTGCGCAACAGCACATTTTGTATCCTGTCACCGAGGGCGTCTGATATGTGTTATTTATTACCTTTGTATGATGACACCAGGGCCATGTCCTTTGGGATTTGATGCTTGGGCACACATGCGGTCATGCCTAATTAAATGGAGGCGAGTCACTCTATCTGATTGTTGAACAGCTTCCAGTTGATGCCCACTTATAAAGTGTGACAAGTGTTTTTTTTTTTTTTTTTAAGTTATATTGTTTTTTTTTTTTAAGAATAGATGAGTCAATATTAAAATTCCCACAGAAACAGAAAATAACTTTATTCGGATCATAGTTAGAGATTATTTTAAAAGATGATTCTACTGTACAACTTTTGTTCTCAACATTTTGACTTTTTTTTTCCTGGTAAAACGATGATAATTTGTTTTCTTTTTCTTTTCAGTATGACCTTAACCCTTTCAGGGACAGCGGTTACTACAGTGGACAGCTTATCACGTTGTCAGGTTACAGTAGGGGTGTCAAATTCATTTTTGTCGCGGTCCACATTTTAGTTCCGGTTTCCCTTGGAGGGCCGTAATGAATTTTGGGAAACCATATAGATCTCTAATCATCTCCACGTATTACATACACAGCGCACAACAAATTGATGGATCACTATTTTTAAAATCAGAAGTCAAGAATAATGACTGTTATTGTGGCTTATATATGACAATTTGAAATTGTGGTTCAGACTTTAGCAAGCATCATGGAACTTGACCTGCTTGATTTGCTTTCGCGGGCCACGTAAAATGATGTGGCGGGCCAGATCTGGCTCCCGGGCCTTGACTTTGACACCTGTGGGTTACAGGGTGCACGAAAGGGTTAATAGTTCTTCATATCATCTAATCATCTTCAGGATGGTGGTTGATATTGAAAGCAGCAATATTCAATCTCCATTTCAAGGTAGTGAGGCACAATGCTGTTAAAAAAAAAGTTCAACTTTACATTTTTTTTTTGATCATGAAGCGGCACTATCAGGAGCTGCTTTATATTAGCTGGTTCGAGTTGGACTTGTTGTGCTGTTGTATGCACAGACCCACTATGGTGCATTGTTTTTGCACCGAGGTGGTCAGAGTGGGGCCGCTTGCCTGTCGGTTCCTGTTTACATTGGCTCCACCCCACTGTGTATATGAGAAAAGTGGAGAACTTAAAACATGTTCAAACTACAGACGCAGTCTTGTAAAACGTCAAACCATCAGACGCAGCTTTTTATTTATTCATTCATTCAGTGACATGATCCGCATGATTCATCATCAAGTGCTTCACTGCCAATACCTCCTGAGGTCTAATTTTTCAACATCTCATGTAGCAAGCTTCCTGTGTAAGCAATCCTCCTCTTGGGATGAAGCGTCTTCTTTTTTGGCCGCAGCCAAGTTTGCGGGTATCTGAGGTTGCTGGGTTTGTGCTTGTAATGGCAGGTATGACTCAAGGTCACTGTCAAATTAACTCGAACTTGACTTTACAGTGAGCCCTTAGTATATTGCGGTTCAACTTTTGCGGTTTTTATTTTTTATGGGTTGAATTAAGAAACGACTTTAGTGTAGAATCACGTGGAGAAGGTTGCTAAGCAAAGTGAATGTACGCCCGTGAGTGCTGTTGTACTACATGGTTTGGATGACCATTTTGGCATTTACACAATGTTTAATTCTCTCTCTCTCTCTCTCTCTCTCTCTCTCTCTCTCTCTCTCTCTCTCTCTCTCTCTCTCTCTCTCGTACTACATCTCACTTTTGTAACAAACAACCCACTAGTTTCCTTTTTTTTTCATGCAATCAACAGATTTTAGTTCTGGAATTCACACTGTGCATAGCAGAAAAGATGTAGTCTTGGAAGTGTGAAAGGCTCCAAAATGAAGACACCTCGGGAAGAAACAGTTGAAAAGTTGGCTAGAAATGTTGTTTAATGTTCTTATCGATTTGACATTATATGTTAGCATTAAGATAATGGACTTTTGTTATTATCTGATTTGATTATGATATGGTAACCCAGCATGCTTTTCCTGCTATTTGAAGGAGTGGGCGAGTCTCGGGTCTTCTTATTGTATGATAGCCTTGCATTTCTTGACAGTGAGAAAGTGAGAACACGCATTTGTGGGACTTGTAAAATTATATATATCAATGATATTGTCGCTTTTTATTGCGGCTTTTAACCTATTGCGGGTGACTCTGGACCATTTCCCTCCCCATCAGCAGGGGTTCACTGTACTTTTTATTCAGCTCACAGCGATGTGACCGAGAGCCAAAACTACTGGTCGCTTGGTTTGGAGGCTTCTTGCATGGCCGTGCCGCTCTTTTCGCCTGCTTTCCCACCACCTCCTGTGACCTGCTGACAGCTGCAGATGGAGAGATAGGGCAGCCTGGAGCTGTGAGCGGGACAGGTGAGAGAGGGAGGAGTCAGTCAGGAGTCCTCACTCAGCAACAACTGCCCTGGGACATGGTGCCGGCAAGGTTCGAAAGAGACATCGGTGTGCCCTCAATCGCGACAATATGGCGCTGTTTCAGATTTCTGCCTTTGATTAGTCATAACACAAGTCAAGGCGCTCAATGCTAAAGCTGAAGATGCACACAAAGTCTCCTCCGCTTAAACACACACACACACACACACACACACACACACACACACCCTTTAAAAAAAAAAGATGTTCACCTCTATGCTCGCAGGATTCCCCCTTTGTGGGGTTCAGTTGTGTGGTCCATTTATGGGGCAGGGGGCAAGCTACGCCCCACTCCTTACGCTTATGTTGATGAATGGGCTCTTTGTGGGCCTGTGGAAACAAGCCACAGCCCTCCATCTACCTCCATATGGCCGAGGCCTATACATCTCCCGTAGCCTCGGGCCGCAGTGAACATCTGCCTGTCCCAGAGTGCACTTGGGCACTGGGGCTCCATGTGCTCTGCCGGACCAACGCAGATGTTCCTGTCCACGGTGTCAGGTTTATTTTGCGACTTCATGCCGAACTCCACGGACGGATTTGCCACTGTAATGCTCCATGTATTTTACCTCCGGAGGTTGCACGCAAGCTTGGCAAATGCACTTAGCAGGTTAGGCCTGTTTGACCCATATCCGAGAAATGATGCCTAAACATCCAAAGTCTGTGACTCTGCGCTTTCTCTTCACGCATTATTTATATATATATTTCCAAGTGGTAAGGTCTGCTGATGAGGCGAAACGTCTCGCACGGCGACTCTTTCACGGTGCTTCTAATGGGCTTCATCGCTTGGAGCCCTTCTGAAGCGGCACCGTGGTTTGAAAAGAAATGACTCAACTGTGTCGTTAATACCTTGAAAATCCCCCCCGTCTACTTTGCTTCGCTTTGACAAAATCAATGCCCCATTTCCCATTTGAGGATTACGGTACATTTTCCGTTTTATGCAGCGTATTTACCATATCACCATCATCCTTTCTCATGAGCACCTTGAGACAGTAATTCATGCCTTCGTCACATCCCGGCTCGATTACTGTAATGCACTTTACTTTGGAGTCAGCCAATCCTCCATTAAGCGTCTCCAGCTGGTCCAGAATGCTGCTGCCCGTCTCTTGACTGGTACTCGCAAGAGGGAGCATATAACTCAACAAAACTCACTTGTATTCTTTGGCATTTGACTCAGCATGACTCAGATTTGATCTTAGTTTACTGTTTGGTGCGTTCTACCGTCTTTGTCACTGATTTATTGCTTTATTGTTTTATATATGATAGTTGCTCCATGTACAGCACTTTGTATGCAGCGATGGCTGTTTGAAAGTGCTCTATAAATAGAGTTGAGTTGAATATTTGGACAATACGACATAATTATTAACACGGCGGTACCTCAACTTACAAATGTAATTTGTTCCTTGACCAAGCTTGTCACTCGGTGTTCTCGTATATCCAATAATATTCCCCATTGAAATAAGTTGAAATGCAATTCAAACCATTCCAGCCAAAAAGACAAATTGTCGCCACGCCTTTTAATAGAACATAATGCTGTGTTGCATAAAATCATCATAAAAGAGAACACAAGGAATTTAAATGGTTGTGGCACAGGACATTTAATTACTATAGGTGCTGTAGTATTCGTGTGTTGGATGCGTGCCTTTAAGCGATGTGGCCTAGTGAGTGATGTGCGGAGCTCGAGTCGGTTAGTCTATGTGTGAGCCTGAGATCGTGGTCGACACCGTGTCCGCAGTGAGTGTTTTCATTTTGCGTTCGTATGTTTGACGGTTTGTCACATTCGTGACAGAAAATGCATCGCGACTGTGGCGCTCTCTGCCCACATGCGAGGGGGTCTTACAGCACTTTGACGCTCCCGGTTTCCTTCCCAAAGATGGTTTAACAAACAAGCGGGGCTTGCTGCCTTCAATTTTGTCTGGGAAGTGGAACTCACGCTTTATGAATTGAGATTGCGTGACCGACGAGACAATTTTCATGGCCTTCAAATAGTCTCAAAGTTGCTTTTCACATGAGCTTAGAGTCAAAACAGTGAAATTGGATGGCCAACAAATTCTTTCCTTGATGAAGAAAATCCCCTTCACCACATGAGCAGAGAGAGATCAATGACACTCCGGAGAAGGCCTTCATGAATGTCAAGATGCAGGGTTTATAACAAAATGAAGAGGCACCCGTCACCTTCCAGAAAAAGGAAAGGTAGAGTGAAGTTCTTCAAAGAAAAAAAAATTACTGTATGTTCTCGAACTACAGAAAAAAAAATGGAGGGCATATGCATTAGAAGTTGGGTAAAGAAACAGCTGATGATCCAAAGCATACCACATTACGTGTCAAACACGGTGGGGTTGGTGTGAGCGCATGCACTGATGTGTAGAACTGCTAAAGGAACAAGCTCATCGGTGTTTAGCAAAGGTGTGACAGCGAACAAGTGGAGCTCCGGTGCTGTTATGTCTTAACTGAGCAGATACAAAACAAATCAACACAAGAAAGGTCATAAAATGAATGCACTCGAAAGAAAGGCAACAGAACTTTTTTTCTTCAAACCACATGTACATATTCAATCGGAGTCAGAAGAATTAAAAAAAAAAAAAAAAACTTAGCGGATCCCACCGCTAATTTTGAATGCCGATTTGCCTTAGATAAGGACTGAAATAGGAATCCTGTACAGAATACTGTAGGTGTCCCAAAAATACTCTTTTGTCACATTCAGACGAGTGCTAGAAAACTGAGAGGATGTAGATTCAAATTGCAGATGAATCCTGGTCCTATAAAAGCAATATCTACTTTTTGAAAGAAAGGAAAATGTATTTTCAACGGTCAAGTCAGTGGCCTCATCCTGACCCAATTTGACATCATTTTCCAAATACCTGCGGATCTAACTTTGTATTTTTGCAATAAGTGCGCAGAAACGGTGAGTGGCAGTTGGAAACCAGATGTCCTTTTTTTATTGAAGGAAGCCAGAAGCAGAAGGTGAATTCCTGTGGAAAAAAAGGTCCACAGAGAGTTAATTAAAACAGTGCACTGTGCAAACGTTTATCCACGACCTCCGCCCCATCAGGGGAGATTTAGGAGTGTTCCCATTGTTCTTAGTGTCCACTCGTCACTCGAGTGTGACTGATGGGTAAACGCCTACCTGCATAAAAAGTGTGATTGATGGCTAAGCTCAGGGTTGTGCCCTCAGGTGGGTCTGCAGGTTGCCATGGTAGCGAGTCATGACGGTGAATGAGGTAAAGCCTCGACTTTGAAGCTCAGATTCACCCGAAACTCTCCAATATGATCATTTAAAACTGCTTTTGTTCAGTTGTTTTGTTTTTTTGTTTTACTCACCAATGAAGGAGCCTGCTTCGTGCTCACCAGGAGCCAAAACGCCACCTGAAAAACTCATCATGACTGCACTGCTCCACTATACATTTTTTTTTTCCTCCCTTCGGAAGTTGCTCGAGACATAAACCAGAAAGTAAAAGTTTTGCTCACGTTGCCAAATGTGGCCTTGATTGGTTAGATTGTCAAGAATAATACAGTTTCCATCTTTATTTTTGTTTTTGAATAAAACCTTGAGCCTGTATGAAAATTGAGGTTTTTTTTAAAAGCACACTTACTTGAGAGGTAAATACATTTTCTGTGTATTTTTGCTCTTTCACAGAATTATGTAACGGCAACCGAGACCACGCTACTTGGGTTTTATCAATTGATGCAATAAGACAAATGTCTTTCCAGTGCAGACAGACACACCTGATAATGGAGTGTCAAGGAGAGTGGGAGGCCACTTAATTGATGTTCCTATTACAAAATTCTTGCCTATATATAAAAAGGTAACATCTGTGTACCCCTCTGTATTATTTTGTTGCTTTGTAACCCATAAAAAGAATAAAATTAAATGTAAAAATAAATAACACATTTTGAAAAACCTCTGACGTGATGGGGCCCAAATTTCCGATGACATGATCGGGACATGCCTAACCGGTAATTCTTGTGTCCCATTAACATCCACGTCGCCCACTGAAGATAATTCCCAACTGCAGTACCAGTCAAAAGGTTGGGTGTTGCTATTTTATGGTCATTTATACCACGCTGTGGACACATTAGCGGAAATAAGCTTTGATGCTACTGGAATTTTTAACCTTCCAGAAAAAAAAATATGGTACTTTAACACAGTCGGTGCATCAACAGTTCCAAACAGAATTGGGGTTTTGTCTTGATTTTTTTTAGTAACACATAGTTTGAAAATGGAAAAAAGTACAATCATGATTCATTGTATTTATGTATGGGTTTACCGAAAAATGCCTGATTTCGACCCCTGAACTGTGCGTTCAAAGATGCGAGAACTGCGTGGAGATGCTCTTCGTCCGCGGCTCCAGCAACTGCGTGCAGTGCGACACGCCCCTGAGGAAGAGCAACTTCCGCGTGCAGCTCTTCGAGGACCCCACGGTCGACAAGGAGGTGGAGATTCGCAAGAAGGTGCTGAAGATGTGAGTGAGGGAAGGAGGGAGGGCGAGGGGTGTGGCCCCGTCGTGTTTATGTGTCATCCCGTGCCGCCTCCCACTTCTTAAGCCACCTTTGTCTTCCTCATTACGTTGTTTGTTTTGTAGACAATGAGTCTCCCTGGGGGAGCCCCAAGCGGGAAGGCTCTTTCCCTGCCAGTTTTTTTTTTTTTTTTTTTTTTTTAAAAAAAAAAAAAAAAAAAAAAAAAAAAAAAAAAAAGTGAGGTGGTCCAGATTTTGCCACAAGGAAATGAGCACCCCCCCCCTTCCCTCCCTCCTCCTTCCCACCTTCCGGTCCTGTCCTTCCCCTGCTGCCTCCTGCTGCTGTCGGTCTTTTCCTGGCTAAACCGCCATGAGGAAGGGATAAATAATTAAATTCCATTAGGAAAGTAATCTGTCAATGTGAGTGAGTGAGTGCCAGTGCCCCTACATGACCAAAATGGGAGGGAAGTGGGTCGGCGGTACTTCGATGTTTGGATGTGTGCCGCGTGTGTGCATGTTTGACCAAAACAAACACTCGATAAGCCCAAAAGGAATCACTGAGCAAAATCTTATCTGTCTTTTGCTGCTTTAACTTTAAGAAAATGTGGCAGCGGAGGGCAAAGGGCGAGCGAGAGGACGTCACGAAACGAAGAGTGAGCCGGACAGAAGGAGGGCAGTGCATAAACAAAAACAAGAAAAAGAAACAGTGCGCACAAGGAAAGCCGACGTTTTTGTGTACATTATAACATTTCTTCCTGCTTTCCTTCTGAAAGGCGTATTTGTTTTCTTTGGATCATCTGTAGAATTTAAAATAACACTGACTGCAGCTGGGCTGCATCATTCGAGTCGGCCGTGATGGACAGACTCAAGCGCTTTCATTGCGGTTTGTGTCTCCTGCCTGTGCAGTGTTTAACCTTACAAACAATGTTGATGTGGAGGACACCAAGCTGAGGATGGAGCAGTACCAGCGAGAGAACAGAGAGATCATCCAGAAGAATAAAGCCAAGCTCGTATGTATACAGTCCGTTCATTTTTGATGAGTTAGGCGGTTAGACAAAAATTGGAAGGGAATAAAGAGAATGAGGCTTCGCATCTGACACTGTTGTCATTGGATTGGATCTCATTATGGGTGCAGTCTGCCCTGGAACTAAAACTTCTGTTCCGTTGACTTTTCCAGTCGTTTTAATGAGTTGTCCATTTGTGATCGATGTGCTTATTGAATCCAACCCACCTGCCTCACCTCAGACCCGAGAGCAGGAGGAACTGGAGGAGCTGCTCCTGCTGGAGCAGCAGGGCAATGAGCAGCGGAGACTGGATGTGCTGCAGGAGGAGCAGAGGCAACTGCTGGCCAAAAAGAAGAACAAGCAGGCTCTGCTGGATGAACTGGTGAGAAGTCGACGCAACGCACAAACAGAATGCCATGTCTGTGCTGTTGCGCAAATATGAAGAGCCACCACATGATGACATACGACGTGTTCCATAGCTTGTCATCCCCGACACACACACACACACACACACGCACACACACACACACACACACACACACACACACACACACACACAAAGCCTGAGGGTTCATGGGTGATCATTAAGAGCTTATTACCAGTCATTGTGCTGCTGGGTGCATTGTTCTCATTCTGTGATTCCCAAGCCTCTTGGCTCCATTGTGTTGAGCTGCAGGCTTTGGAAGTGATTGTTCTTGTGGTGCGGCCTGCTGAAGCACCATCACAGATAGCAGGTTAAGCTGTGTGTTTGTTTGTTTAAGGCACAGGGCCCGTCCTATGTGGACAGATGAGATCAGTGCTCGCCCCCCCTGGGGGAACCCCTCTGGGTCTTGACATCTGTATATACCAGCACCCCCAAACACACCATTCTCACACTGCTCTCACACACACACACATACAAACAAAGTAATCGCGATGCCTTTTTGGTGGTTTCCTCAACTTGTGGTTAATGATCTGCTTCACGATCAACTTGTTGATTATTGTGCTTCACTTTACCTAAAGATTAGTTTGAAAAGTAGGCATTGTGTGTTTATTCACATGCATTGAGTACAAATAGTATCAGTGTCTTCATTCGTGGTCAGGTGTGGCTATTTTGAAAAAACAAAATTATCCATCCATCCATTTTCCGATCCGCTTATCCTCACAAGGGTCGCGGGGGGTGCTGGAGCCTATCACAGTCATCTTCGGGCAGTAGGCGGGGGACACCCTGAACCTCGGGACAATTTAGAGTGTTCAATCAGCCTGCCATGCATGTTTTTGGAACGTGGGAGGAAACCGGAGTACCCGGAGAAAACCCACGCAGACCCAGGAGGAACATGCAAACTCCACACAGGGAGGCCGGAGCTCTGCCAAAATCATCCTAGTCTATTTTTTTAACAAGATCTACGATCTTAAGACAGGCAGCACTACATTCAGATCCAGCGGTCTTGATCCAAGGCCACAAAATGTGCTAAGTTCCCACATAAGCACAACATAATTAGAACCAGATCTGATGAGATTTGACAGCGATATAAGCCTCTGAACATGTTCAATTGTATAGTCCATGGTACATTGAAATTGCTACCAACTGCAAAACTGGATTAAATCCACGCGTATGTGGGTTTGATCTTGCAAGCGTAGCCTGTGACCCTGCGTACAGATAGCAGAATGTGTGTTCTTCAAATTGAACAGGAGTTGACAAAATTGCGATGACATAAATAAATAAATTAATTTAAATGTAATTTAATTTGATTCGTTTTTGGTAAATGAAAAAATATATGCTTTTATAAAACAGAAAATAACATTTAATTTCATGCCATTATTAATATGAGGATTTTCACAAATATATAATGGGAACATTCTTGCCTGAACCTCGGGACAATTTAGAGTGTTCAATCAGCCTGCCATGCATGTTTTTGGAACGTGGGAGGAAACCGGAGTACCCGGAGAAAACCCACGCAGACCCAGGAGGAACATGCAAACTCCACACAGGGAGGCCGGAGCTCTGCCAAAATCATCCTAGTCTATTTTTTTAACAAGATCTACGATCTTAAGACAGGCAGCACTACATTCAGATCCAGCGGTCTTGATCCAAGGCCACAAAATGTGCTAAGTTCCCACATAAGCACAACATAATTAGAACCAGATCTGATGAGATTTGACAGCGATATAAGCCTCTGAACATGTTCAATTGTATAGTCCACGGTACATTGAAATTGCTACCAACTGCAAAACTGGATTACATCCACGCGTATGTGGGTTTGATCTTGCAGCGTAGCCTGTGACCCTGCGTACAGATAGCAGAATGTGTGTTCTTCAAATTGAACAGGAGTTGACAAAATTGCGATGACATAAATAAAACAATTTATTTAAATGTAATTTAACTTGATTAGTTTTTGGTAAATCAAAAAATATATGCTTTTATAAAACAGAAAATAACATTTAATTTCATGCCATTATTAATATGAGGATTCTCACAAATATATAATGGGAACATTCTTGGATGTTGGAACGTCCTTGCAATACGAAACCCTCACGATTAATGACGGTACTTATTTCCCAAATTTTGGCCCGAAAATAGGACACTAAACACAGCGTCGAGAACCTTGATGGAGACCCCAGGACATGTCATGACTGGAAGCTATTAAACACATTTTGGGAGATTATCCTAAAACACAAATGTCTCCTTGCGTGTCCTGCCGAACCATCAAAAATCTTCGAACTCGTCAGTGAAGTACATGTGCGAGTTTCGGTTCTCAACCTGGACCAGACAACACCTCACTCGGAGATACTGAAAGGCTCGACCTTGTAGCTTCTTCAATTCGAGGCGGTGCAGCGCCTTTGATGCAAACCTATTTGTTTTCCCAGGAAAAATCTCAGCTTCCTGCTTACCTCTTGCTTGCCAAACACAAGGCCCGCGTTTCCCAGCTGGAGACGGAGATCGAGCAGCAGAAACACGCAGTCAAAGCCACCAATCACTTTTCAACAGGAATCCAGATGGTGAGTGGGACACTTTTTCTGTGTTTTACTTTTATTGAACAACATTTCAGATTAAATCTCGCGTTGGACCAAAAAGCTCGGGGAGGTTGTTCCTCCTTATTTCGGCTTCACCTTCGCCGTAAGAAAAAGGTCCTGACTCCGTTTGTCATGTCATCACATTGCTCTGAGCTTGAACCGGGGCCCTGAGAGAGAGAGAGACGGTATGACTCCGGACCCTCTTAAGCTTTCCATGCCTGCAGAGACCTTCCATTTCATATTGCTGCTATTCTAGTTTCCAGTCATTTGTTTTCATTTTACTGCGATGAGACACGCTGTGTCATCACCTGAACCCCTCCCCAACAACCCTCATGAGGAGTGCTTCCATTCCCACAGTTCAGTGATGCATTGGAGAAATATCCGCGAGGTCGTCACCTGTAAACTCCTGCCAAATCCTCTCTTGCCTCAAGTTCTCCTTTCCATGATTGACTCTTCAACCATGGTTGTTCTTCATCATCAAGATCAAAAAGTGCCCAAGGGTTGCACTTTCTTTTTCTACCGCCGCAAAATTAAACTTGCTGATGGCGAGAGAAACGGCGATCTTACGCCGCTCTTGGTTTCTTCTGCGGTTGCAACCCCCCACCCCTTCATTTATTTTCACTCTACCGTCCCTAAGCCCTCCACATACATATGCTCCGCTCAGCTGCAAGTCGGGAGAACATGTGGGTTTGAATTTTCCTTCACCTCGGAGTCCAAAAGCATGACTTGTGTTTGACTTGGTGAAATTTCAGCACAGACTGGCAAATTCTTGCAGCTTGCTGGAATTCATTTAGCTGCTAGGTTGCGGTCCCTTGTTCCAAGATGAGTTTGAGTTGGAGGAAACTCATCAGCAAAGCCCGTCTGTCATGAAAGCACTCAGAGTGATGCCAATTAGTGCTTGGAAATATAAACTCTTTGGCATAAGTAACCATAGGACACCTGGTCATTACACCCCTATGAATTAAATGTGGTACAAATTCTAGTTAGCGAGATTCTTGTCCATGCAGTGTTTTAGTTTTGCAAAAGGCATCTGTGAAAACTACAAATTTGTCAAAACTATACAGTCGGTGGGGCGCTCGGGCAAAGGAAACCTTTCATTTTGGGTGGACTCCAAAAATCCAAATTTCCAATCCAAATACTTAGTTGAGTATTAAAAACTTATCTTTGTCCGTTTGACAAACACATAAACATGTCACTGGCATGCAAATCACTGCTTTTTATTCAGGCATTTTGGCAGCGTTGGCATTGTGGATCCTTTTGACGAAAACTAGATCATTGTTCTCAAAACCCCAAATGGGATATTCTACTCTTATATTAACCTACTACGCAACAAGTGTAAGATTTAGATCTATTTTAACATTCTCTGTGAATAATGTGTTCATTATAAAACAAAATGCCGATGAAAGTGTTGCATTTAGTGTTGGTTGATCCGAGTGCAAATTGTTTGACCCTGGAACAATCTCCGCTTACTGCCATCCTAAATGTTGTTATTTGCCTTGAACATCAATCAGTTTGTTTTTGAAAAATTTAAAGATGTATTTTCGGCTAAAGGGATGTTTAGCCTCAGGAGAAAGCAAACAGTGATCGAGATGAATGAACAGTTGGTTGACTTTATGGCCTCTAATTTTATCAACCGTGTTGATGTGCGAGTTCATCTGTCACGCACAAGTCGGTGATCATCACTAACCCCGACGCATGCAACACTTTAGCCTGCCTGCTCTCTCGGGCCAAGGTGAGCTGTCACTGGTGGAATGGCATATCTGCCGGTGGTTGAGCCCACCAATCCGAGGAACGTCAAGATGCGGAGGCTCCAGTCTTTAAATAAAGACTGCTCTAGTGTCTCATCGAATGCAGCAGCTGCGTCATGTTGTTGACTGGGAACGTGCTAGCAAACATCTAAGCCTGCTCTTTACTCTGGGACGCCAATGTCGGACGACTATTCCGGTTGAGTCAGAAAGCTGTCAAATGGATGCTTGATGAAGGGAAAGCATCCAAATGTCAAGTTGCCCGGGCCCAGGTGCGTTGTGAGGCTTGGGATGTGCCCGGTCTTGCCTCAGGAATGGCTTGAAAATCGCGCGCTAATCCGCCACTTTGTACTTGTGCTATTGAAGAAAGCCAAGCACACAACCCTGCCTTGTCTGAGTAAACATCCTTTGAAGAATCACTTGCTCGCTGATATCAAAAGAGAATTACTGAAAGGGAGGCAGTCAGCTTGTCGCTGTTTAAACATGCTGCTTGTTTTTTTGTCTGACACATTAAGCTGGTCTCAGTGCCAAGCAATGACAAGTCCCCTCTCTTGCCACTTGCTCACGGACATGAATTCATGATCATTAACAGATAAATGACAGGTTTGTGCAACGCGCAACTTATAACGCCTAGTCTCAGATTGCTTAAAGGTTTTGCCTTTTGTTTTTGTTCAGGAAAGCAGTGTCAAGTGTTTGTTCTCGCTTGGCGTGTTTATTTGCAATCCCGGAATCATCCTCGGCTGCTTTGTCCCATTCCTCAAAGTGTTTGACCGATGGGGAATTGCTCGAGTCTAGAGCAGCTTTCAGCAGCATCTTAAATGAAAGGTTCTCGCTCCACTATGTCTTGATCCACTTGTCACAGGCAACAGAGCAGCTGACATAGTTGACGAAGCCGCCAGTGGAGGCGGCGAGGGACACGCACAATTCAAATGTACAGTTGGCCAAATGTGGGTGGCAAGTTTATCCCTAAACATAGATGTGTAGCTGACTTAAATATCCCCGGGTCCTCTCTGGCATTATTCAATTCGACTTGAACTGTATGGAAAATACAAACACAAGTGCAAAAAACTAACACACTCTTCAGTCAGGTTTGTTTTGCTTTGTTTGATTGTCCTCTACGGTGACCTCTGATTGGGAGAGAGACTCGTCAGAGTAAGCTCGAGCTGAGCTTGATTTTTCTCTGGCAGACTGGCCCAACCTGTTCTGCCTGAGAGGTTAGCGTGACATACTCCCCACCCCCTTCAAGTCCCCATTCAGTATCCAAAGCTTCAATTGTAGTTTTTTGGGAGGGTGGGGAGGGGGTGGAAACCAAATCTTTGGTTTACTTTTTCCATTTATTCAATGTCATCACAAATAACTGATTATTTTATTTATATATAATTTTTGGGGTTTGTGACTTTTTCTCACTCGTTGGATTAGCGGAACTCCAATTGATCATTACAGGCCTTTTTGATAGCAAGGGGTCAGGTCAAGGGCCAAAGAGAACTGTCAGTTGTGATTGGCACCGGCACATGTGGGCATTCACACCTCTGCCCCTCTCCTTGGCTTGGCCCTCTTTAGGATGGCCTCAACAACACTCGCCTGTGTCTCAGGCAAGCCCGGCACGGCAGAAAAAGGACTTGTCAGCTTTAAGGGCTTTGCACTGGGGCAGCTGCCTCTGGTCATATAGTAAGTTATATTTAAACATGTAAGGCAAGGGCGACCAGCTTTTACACTACTTGCTACCTGAAGATCACATGTCATTTTGCATGAATGGAGAGGCTCTGTGTGGTGTGTACGCTATGCAGACAAAAATATTAACGCCTGCAAAGCTGTGGCGTGCGGTGAGGTTTATGACTGGTGAGACACTGACTCCTCTTGGGTCGGATATAGAGATAGCAACCAAAATAGAGGATTAGCCTGTATTTCAATTTTGACCTGAATTGAAACTGAATTTGTTTTCAAAGCTTTTAATGATGTTGCTACACTCAATTCCACACTGTTGACCGATGTGATAGCAAGGGCAAGAAAAACAGAATATTCATAATGAGGTCAAGTTCATTGTTGTTGCTGGGTTTTGACTGGTGAGACACTGACTCCTCTTGGGTCGGATATAGAGATAGCAACCAAAATAGAGGATTAGCCTGTATTTCAATTTTGACCTGAATTGAAACTGAATTTGTTTTCAAAGCTTTTAATGATGTTGCTACACTCAATTCCACACTGTTGACCGATGTGATAGCAAGGGCAAGAAAAACAGAATATTCATAATGAGGTCAAGTTCATTGTTGTTGCTGGGTTTTTTTTTTTGCTTTTTTTTTTTTTTTTTTAATGAAAAATGATTTGGTCTTACCTTTATATTGAATATATTTTGAAAATCTCAATTATTACGCACGTATCCTATGTCATAAACTGCATGACCGATGTTTCTTATCGGGATAACCCGAACCATTCGGAAAATCGGGGTCAAACCCGGTATGGGTTTTATTATTTTTTAAACATTTAAAGGAACAAAATAATCCACAAATGCAAATATCTTGCCCAATAGAACAGTAGTCACTTAGTTTTATATTTCACAGTGCTCCCTTTTTTTCTTTTTTTTTAAATTTATTTAGTAGTAATGCAGTTAGTGTGACACACACACACACCCACAGATACGCCTCTCTCCTCCGCTGCGCACAGCTCTCCTGCAGGCAGAGACAGAGGTCCGGGTTTTTCTTCATAGCTTCTTTGGAAGTTGCCGAAAGATGCTCCTTAATAATTCAGCCTTGCCTGATCGAAAGAAGCCTCCTCGCTAAACGTCGTCGTCAAAGAGTTGAGTGAGCTGAGAGCGCGATTCTGACTCGCCTAATACATATACATAAAGCTTCCTGTACGTTGAAATGTGTTGTGTTTAATTAAAGTTAACATTCAATTAATGTAAAAGAGTTTTACAAATAGCAATTGACACTGATTTGGTGGAATGGTGAATCTAATACTGTATATATAAATATACAGTACTGTATGTAAAACCTACTCAGTGATGTATGTATATATCCGTATTCATTTGTAAAAAATCAGATGCGCACTCTTTTTATCCTGAATGCATTGCCGAGGTCTTGGATTGGGACTCTGTATGAGCAGATACTTAAAACCAAAGACATTATATTCTCTTTGCTTTGTGGGAAGGAGGACCGTTACAGGAAATGAGCTGGAAAGTTTCTCTGTCTCATAGTCTGGCAGCTATAAAGAATGAACAACAATATATTGGTGGCAAACACTATTCAGTGACGACTCACAACAACAAAAGTTATCTAAAGGCACTTGGAGCAGGCTCAGGAACATGAAGAAAATTAGCATGTCCAACATGAAAGAAATTAGCCTGTCCAACAAGAAAAAAAAAATGGAGCTGAGACAACCACGGCACAGTGTGGGGCAGCCATCTGCCTCAACCGTCGCGGTAATTGCAATGGTCATTGTGAAAAGGTTGGTCTCTAAGTGTCGTTTGTGGAATGGTGTGTGTCACTTATTTTTAATGTATGCTTAAGACGGACGGTGTGGAATGTCGTTTGAAAGGCGGATCTCTCACCCTTTTGAAGTAAGGCAATTTTTACAAGCGCGTGCCTCATAAACGTCCCTTGAGCGTCTGCTTTATCATTCCGTTGGATCAATGGACCCGCATATCCTGCTTTGTACAGGGAATATAAACGAAAGAGTTGAGACACACGCCTGTGGGCTTCCTCTCATGCTCGTCTGTTATAGCCCAATATTTGAAACATAACCATATTTATTTGACAATTAAGGTGATACTTACGATAAGCCGGAACCTGCACGAGAAGTTATAAAGAAAGACTTAACAGCACTTGCTTCACAAATATATTGAGCAAGAAAGCTAAAATGCTAAAGCTAAGCCTGTTTTTATTTAGGCGACCTTGCAAAGGAATGCAACAGAAAGGTCTCGAGAATGGAGGCTTGCTGTTCCGTCTGTCACTTGAGAATCGATTTTACCGCTTCATTTCTTCCGTTGCTTCCCAACTCCCATCCATTGCCCGTTGCGTCGACTGTTACATTGGAGATAAGTAGTGCTGAAAGTTTGACGGATGATGGATGAGAGAGTGAGGGTGTGCAAATTTGCGGGAAAGTTGCTCGGCCTCAGTTGGCAGGTCTGTGTTTCATTAGTCTTTGGCGGAGGCGCGTATATGTTGAAAGAATGATGGGACAGGATTGGAGATCAACGGCACCCCCAGGTTAAAGGGGGAGACGAGACCGTTGACATTTTTTTAATTGTCA